ATTTGAGTGCTTTTTTTTTCCATAAGGGTAACAGCAAGTAGAGCTCTTTAATTTACACTATCTTTACCTGCTATTTCCCTACAAATTTTTTCGTCTTCTCCGCCTCTTCAACAATGACTCTTTTGACACGGGAAGATACTGGACATTTCGTTAACCGAGACGTTCGTACTTTGAGAAATAATATTTCACATAATTGTACATTTCGTATGTAGCTTTCGGTACGTATAGTATAGCTTTCAGTCTCTCCCGGGTTTACAGTCAGAAATTAAAGGAGGCGCGATCGTGAAAAAAAAGATCCAATTACGAATTCACGGAAAGAAAGAAATAAAACTTGTTGACACAACTTGCCAGCTGGCCGTCCTTGTTCCTTCAATCTTGTCCATCTTTACCGTAGCGGTCGACTAGTTTCTCTTTTCGATTCCCTTCTTGTTCTTTCTCAAATGTTTCATCACAGTCGTTTCAATGCAGATGTAAATGTTAAAAAGAAAACTGCCAAGCCGTAAGATGTAAACCGAAGATCGATAATGCAATCAAGGTGGACGTCTGGCTTTGCTCAAGTTGTTGAATATTCTGAAATACAGTCATTCCTTTCGCAATACACTTTAGAAATGATATATCGTTTATGAATATTCTAAACGTCATAAATTAAAACATATTGAATTAATACATATTGTCATAATACATAAAAGTCATAAATTAAAACATATTGAATTAATGGCTACGGGAATAAAGAGATAAGTGAAATTTGCATCAAGTAAAATATAAATAATATCGAGGATATTGTCGGTCGTTGAAATTGGAATAATTTTAAGCTAAAAGAAACGACGGAAAAAGTCATGAAACGCGCGTGTAAGGACAATTTGAAATAGTACAATAATTTTCCTTCCTACAACGCGGTGGCGAACATTTAATCGTCGTCACTTTTCTGACGGAGCACGACCGTCGGTTTGGGATTACTCGCACGACGACTCCACTGCACCACCTATACTTAATAAACTAACAAAAGTAATTACATCTGAATAAGAGTCGTTAACTCGCCGGTAAAAAGAGGACGGAGAAAAAGGGGATGACAAAGGAGAAGAGATAAGGGCGCCGCCGGCGTGCGAGCCGTCCCTGTTTCCGACGCTTCTTTCCACGTTGGCCGGCCGCAGGTTGCAGCTGCTCGACGAAAATTCCTTCGCCGTGAAACTTCCGTCGCGAGGACGCGCTTCTTTGTCTCCGCGAAGGAAAGACGGGAACTCTCGCGAGGAGCCGCGGACGTTGCAAGCATCGCACGTGGAAGCGCATAGGAGAAGCGTCCTCTCCCGCGTCGATTAAGTCGCCAATAAATCGATCTCGGCGACGAAATTGCCTACCGTCGCCGAGACCTTCGGGGCGTTCGGGGCCTTCAGTCCCGAGGCGAGGCGGGCCGGGCCCAAAGAGATGAAATAGTCTGCGGCAGATGTCCGGCCCGGCCCGAACAGCTGCTGCAGTATCGCACGGTGTAGATATCGCTCGCGATACTCTGGGCCCAATATAATCGCTACCTCGCGATCCCGTCGATCCTGCGCCTCGCGCTGCACCGTTGAGGATTTAAGAACTGCAGATTGTAAGAATTAGCGCATCGATAATGAGCCACGCCGGGCGTCGAGCGGCGAGCTGAAACGTCGACGACGGTCCGATGATTTCCACTGTCCGGGGATTCCACTCGATATCGTGCGTCTGAAATGTTCCAAGCGTGTTTTAAAAAAGGATCCTCGAGATGTCCCAAGCGCATTTTAAAAGGATCTCCGTCCTACGTGAGATAATCGTGCATTCGACACGCGCTGCGGTAACCCTGACGCATATACAATTCTCCAAGCATTTAGAGCAGTTTATCTGTACAATAAAAAAAACACTATATTTTAGGATCTTTAAAGTCCTCCAGGAGTTTTTAAATTTATCTTAGGCCAGCCGATTAGATAAACTTGAGGACGAGATATTTCATTTTCGCTCGTTAGAGAGAACCCAGATAGCACACATAGTTCTATGAATATTCCTCTGGAGTGTAAATATTCTTCATTTCAGAATATTCCAATCGAATATTCTATAAATATATATATAGATTATTACAATTAGAAATCGTATATTCATAACAAAGGAGAACGTTTTCATAATATTCGTCGAGAACGTCTTTGGAATCTTTCATCAGAATAATTTTTTAATATTCATCGAGTTTATATATTGCACATTGTTCATCGTGTAACACACTTATTTTGCGCAAAAGGCAGTGAAGCCTGCGATCATACCATGTATAACCGACACGCTGTATTCGATAGATTATTCTATTCACATTCGAAAAAGATTTCTAGTAGTGGATTGTTCTACGAACATAAGATAAATATATACGTATAAGAATGACCTATGGAATGTTCATAGGAGTGTCTTGTGCCATCTGGGAAATAGCTCCAACTAAAACCTAATCCACAATGTGCTCCTTGCACCTAGAAACATTAATATTGTATATCAAAACGCTTAAAAAATTAGTCGACAATTTACGACTGTACAATTTGTCGACTTGCACACATTATTTGAACGTATTTATTGGCTACAAAATAGAATGTTTCTAGAACGCAAGGAACACATTGTAAATTACTCTTAACAGTTCGTAGATAAGTTAACGTATCCACCCATACAGCACCAAAGCTTTCAGAAACATTGCGACATTGCAACAATGTTTTCTGAAATGTTTCTGAAAGCTTTGGTGCTGTATGGGCAATACACGCGTGGACTAATTATCAACGTTTTCAAAATCGCCTGATAATAATTCTTCTCGGCAAGAAAATTATATTATATAATATTACACGTTACTTAGAAGCATTTACAATTATATAACGAATATACAATTTTCGTTGTCCCTCTTTTACTTCATTTTTACTCTCTTAATTCTGAATGAAATGCCGATTGTTGTTCGGCCACGAGCAACGCAGTTTCGAGCGTCTCATCTTGACGCACTCCTCTCGACGTTCTAGAAGCGACGATCCTCCCCCGTGCATTCGACGACGTCGCGCACATTACCCATCAGAAGATACGTTCTATCACGAGACACGGTAGTGTCTCGCGCCAAGTATAAGCGACAAACTATTAAGTGACAAGCTAGATTACATTCTACTGCGTAAAGTGTGAAGGGCTCGGGAACGCACCCTCGAAAAGTGCCAATTACTTTGTACTGCGTATAAAGGAAACGTCCGGGCGTGTTACTGCGTGTCGCTCGAGCGACGCCCGCCGACGCTCGAGGTTGCTGCAACGCGATGAGCGATTTGAATTTTCAAAAATCTCGAAACGCCGTTTCTCCCCGCCCCCCCCCCAGTCGCGCGTACGGACCGGGAATGTTCCAGGTTCGCATTTTCTCGGGTCCCTCGGGAAACGAGACGACGGGACGAAGGAGGCGGCCGTCCTCGTCATCTCCCGTCTAAAGAAACCGGGGAAAACGCTACTCGCAACAAGATCTTCGGCCACGACGGAGCAACCCCCGAGAGTCGGGGCGAGCAGCCGGTACTCGGCCAGTGGCGGAGTGGGAAGTGGACGCCACGGCACGGCGGCGCGTCCACCAATCGACGGGCGCGTCACATCAACCCGGGCTCGGTGTGTCGCGCGCGCCGATTGGCCGAGCGGCCGACCGGCCCGCGATCGCGCCGCGCCGCACCGACGGCCATAATAATGTACGCAAACGCCGGAGCGAGCGGTACTCACGTCGGTTTCAACGCGCGCGTCCCGCGAGATCGTTAACGCCGACGTCGCTGGCGATCCTCCACCTGCCGAGTTGCCGCTCAGCCGCGACCCGCACGGTGTGCCGCCTCCTCGTTTCCTGCGCGCCGAGAGACCGCGTCGTCCCCGAGCCGCGGCGGCGCGCACGCCGCACGTGCGTGGCGTGATTCTACGGCCCGCGAACATGGAGGTCGTGCGGGTGCACTACGACGCGTACGACATGCAGAACGGCGAGCTCACCTGGAGCTGCGGCGGCAGCGGCGGCGCGGCCGGCGACGCCGGCAACGCCGGCGACTGCGGCAGCGGCAGCCCCGGGTGCAACGTTCTCGACTCCTCCGAGGAAATCTTCGACTCGCCGCCGCCGCCGCCGCTGCAGCCGCGCAAGCTGTTCGAGGCGCCGGACTGCAACGACGACGACGAGCCGATGAACAACAACAACAACGACCACGACCACGACAACAACAAGAAGATTCCGATGCCGCCGGCCTTGCTCATAGGTTAGAAACTCGCATCCCCCCTCTCGCATGCCTCGGGCCTCTTCTTTCACCACGTTTCGCCTCGCCCACCTGCGTCCTGCACGTCGTTTCCAAGCGGGCTCGCGATCACGTCGAAGCGATTGTTAATGTTTCCTCTGAACGATGAGGAAAGTCGCGTGACGTCATCGCAATGGCATTGCGAGTTTTTACGCTCTACCTGGGTCGCGTACCGGTTTTCGGTGGCGTTTAAACGCGCAGTGGCATCCCGACGGATTTGTGTTCGTTGCACCTTTCCGGCGGAGAATAATCTGAAAATCTTTTCGTAGATTGTGAGGCGGAGAAGAATACAAGTCGTGCACAACGGCCTTACGTTTTTCTTTACCTTCCGTCCACGACTAGTGTCAGTTTCCACCAACGCGAATCAACTCTGACCTCTCGGTTCAGCTCGCTCCGTATCTTTTTCTAGTTTTAAAAGTCAGTCGACGATAAGAAGTCATCTAAGCCGGTATTAAAGTTGATCTACAAAAATGGGAGAGACCTGAGCGTTCGCGGATCGTTTGCCGCCCGTCTCTTTCTCACCGTAGCTTACAATCACCTGTTTCGTTAATCATTACCGTATCATTTTAAGTGCGGAAAGTATTATGGCGCAGCCTACGAAGAACGGAAGCCCACGTTCGTCCGTCGCCGTCAACGCCTTGCACCTCTCGTCCTTTTCTCTCCAATGTCTACCACCTGTTTGATTTATCGTGTACTCCGTCGAGTACAGGAAGTGCAACGCGGTGCAGCTACGGGGAAGAACGGAAAGGAGAGAATTCACGTTTTCTCTCGTTGTCCCCTTGCGCTTCTTTTCATCTCCTTTTCGTTCTTTCGCTCTTTTTTTTTCCTGCGAACGTCTAATTTTATACCTGCCTCGTTTTCTTACGGGAAGCAAGCGCGCTGCGACAAAGGGACGCGACCCCTTCTCTCTCGTGCTACGTCACGGCGTCCCTGCCCCCCGGTGTGCGCGGGGTCGAAAGTGACCTCGTGTTTTCGTTTAGAACAAGTCGAGTTTACCCAGAAACGAGAGAGAAACCTGAGAAACGGTTCGTAGGTGCGCGTTACACCGGCGATTCTCGTGAATTTTTCGGCACGTTGACCTGGCTATCCATTAAAGAAGAGGAATTAATCGAGGCGCATTCCCGAATGCGCGTCTCTGCGCGCCTGAAAAAAAATTCAACGTAGTCCGCACGGAGAGAATTCAGTTTCGTCGCGCGAAACATGGAGCTCGCGTTCCCTTCGCCGTGCAAACGTCGACGTAAGAAACAGATCCCCGTTGGGGATCCCTCGTCCGAGGAGCTCCGGGCTTCCGGATGACCGTGCCTTTTCTTTCGTTCCTTCGCATCGCTTTCCCTGCGTTTCCCCTCGCACGCCTGGTTACCCTGTGTGATTTCTCCCTCCCCCACGGTATTTCGAGCATTTGTTTTTTCACAATTAACGCATGATGCGAAACGATTGATAGCGACACGCTTGGACAATTCTTTTGCATCGTGCGCACGAGCATACCCCAAGTTACGATCGTAAATCATGCGACTCCGATCACGATCGTGTTTCAAGTCGAAATTGCGGCATCAGTGATTCCAAGGTCTCTGTGTACTGATGACGCAAGTTCGCGATCGTTATGCGAGGCCCATAACGCGAGTCTCAGAATCGCAGTCGTAAGAATAATCGACTGTAATTGGTCAACTCAGTCAGACACATAAGAATTGACCAATCACTGGGCGTTTTCCAGCAAGGACACAGTGTAACACAGTGAATCGTTTCATTCTTGTTTAACATTGGCAAACAACAAGGATGTAATGATTCACAGTGTTACACTGTGTCATTGTGTCCTAGCTGGAAAACGCCCATAGTCGACTATTCTTAAGCCCGTGTCAGACTACGGATTGAGATTGGGATTAGATTGAAATTTGACCAATCACAGTAAAGTTTACTAATCTCAAGTTTAGTAAGTTTTACTCTAATTGATCAAATTTCAATCTAATCTCAATCTCAATCCGTAGTCTGATACAGGCTTTACGACTATGACTCTAAAGCCCGTATCAGACTACGGATTGAGATTGGGATTAGATTGAAATTTGACCAATCAGAGTAAAAGTTACTGAACTTGAGATTAGTAAACTTTACTGTGATTGGTTAAATTTCAATCTAATCCTAATCCCAATCCGTAGTCTGATACGGGCTTTAGACTCGCATTGTAGACCCTGCATTACGCAGTCGTAAGAATAATCGACTCTAATTGGTCAACTCAGTCAGACACATAAGAATTGGCCAATCATAGTCGACTATTCTTACGCCTACGTCTCTGAGATTTGCATTGTAGACCCCGCATAAGGCCTGTGTCCACGATGGTCCACTTGGTCAAAGTTCTTAGTCCCGAGAAATACGTAGCCAATCAACTTGCAGCTTTTATGGAATAGCTGCAAGTTGATTGGCTACACATTTCTCGAAATTTGAAAGTTCTAGCATCGTGGACACAGGCCTTTACACGCGGTATTGCATTTGTAGACGCTTTGACCGATTGACAAAAAAAAAATGCGTATATTCAAGCAAGCATGTGATTCTAATTGTTAGAAAGTGTCTTCGCGAGTGAGTCTTTAGGCTTGAGCTTGTCGCTTTGAGATAAAATTTCACAGTCAATTTTCATGAATCATATTAAAGGCCTGATCTACAATGTGTTCTTTCGCCCAATAACATTACGTTTTGTAATATGAATACGTTTAAAAAACTTGTGCAATTTGGTAGCTTGTACATTGTACATTGCCGATAAATTTTTTAAACGCGCATTGATTTCCCTACACAAAACAGAATGTTTCTAATTGCAAAGAGCACGTTGTGGATCGCGCTTGAGCGTATACATCGTTTTATTTTCTCTGTGAAAAGTTCCTTCACAGTTCTTGCCACGATAGTTCGAAGAAAACTGTTTTACATTCTAATCCGCGCTCCATTATCTTGATTGTGTTATTTTATCGACGTTAGTCTCTCTTTTTTTATTCTGATTGTGAGAAAGGAAAATAGTAATGTAAACAAAAAGCTGATTAATGAACGCTTGCGAAAGTTCTCTTTGGTCGCAAGACATCGTTAAGATAACTGCAAGTTTTCTATGCCAAACGCACGTTTATTTACAGGTACTCCGGCCGCCAGAGTTTTCACCTCTCGCGAAAATGCTCAGAAGATTTTGAAGGGTTGTAGCCCGCCCTACAAGCGCGTCAGGGCGCTGCGCCTCTTCGATTCGCCCGCTACCCCGAAAACCCTGATAGAGAAGAGCGTGTTGCAAACCCCGGTACCATCGAGGATCAGTTCTAGACTCTTTAATCTGGATAAACCTAAACCTTTTCTCTCCAGGATAAGTCCCCAGAACAAGTTGGAAAAGCCCGCCGCCAATTTAAATCCCTTCACGCCTACTGGCATGTTAATAACAGCGAGAAAAAGGAGCAGGTCCAAACGCAGTCTCAATGGGTATGTATTCGAGCCGTGTGTTTCCCAAATATTTATTCTCCGCGTAATCTTTTGCGGATGTCTAATCGCGATGCTCAACAATAAAACGCAACTAAGATGTATTTACTGCTCGCAAATTGAGAAAACGATTTTTTAATACCTACATTTATCATCTTGTGTTGGCGAAGATAAAATTGGAGATTTCTGACGTATTATTTCATATTGAAGATACTAGAATATACTGGTCCGTTATTAAGTTTTTGTTAGCGGGAGATTTACTTCAGCTTCTTTACCACGTTACTTTCTTTTATAACAGCAGTAGTGCCAGCTCGCCGGATATGGAAGTGCCAAAGTTTGATCTCGCCGACTCCGAAGATTCCGACAACGAATACGAGCACGCGACGAAACGCGTGGCGCTGCAGGACTCGAATATATCGCGTTACCACAAGGAGTTCCACGAGCTGGGCTTGATCGGGGTCGGCGAGTTCGGCTCCGTGTACAAGTGCATCAACCGGTTGGACGGATGTACGTACGCGGTCAAGAAGAGCATCAAACCCGTGGCGGGCAGCACGAATGAGAAGAACGCGCTCAACGAGGTGTACGCGCATGCCGTCCTCGGCAAGCATCAGCACGTGGTCCGCTACTACTCCGCTTGGGCGGAGGACAATCACATGATTATCCAAAACGAGTACTGTAACGGCGGCAGTCTCGCGGACGTCATCAGCTCGATGCGGGTGCAGAATGAGTACTTCAACCAGGCCGAGATGCGTCAACTTTTGATGCATGTGGCTGAAGGATTGAGGTATATACACAGCATGCAGCTCGTGCACATGGATATCAAGCCTGGCAACATCTTCATCACCAAGGAGAAGAAAATACACGCCCTCAACTACGACTCCACCGACGACGGTTTTGACGAGGACGAGGCCACCGAGGATGAGATCACGTACAAGATTGGCGATCTCGGCCACGTCACCTCGATTAACAATCCGCAGGTGGAGGAGGGCGATTGCAGATACCTCTCGATGGAAATTCTGCAAGATGACATTGCTCATCTGGCGAAGGCCGATATCTTTGCCCTAGGGTTGACCGTTTACGAGGCGGGTGGCGGTGGACCTTTGCCGAAAAACGGACAGGAGTGGCACGACATTAGAGAGGGCCAATTGACAGACTTGCCGCACTGCAGTCGCGACTTGAACAACTTGTTGAAGGTACGATCTTATTTCCAAAGTTTAAAGCAAATAATTGGCTCCTTTTATGCTCCGATCTGTCCGCTGTGTATTAAGAGTCTTGCATGCCGCGGTCATTTTCTCTCAACAGAAATCATTAGAATTCCTTTGACATTTCGTGTTTTTCGCAGCTGATGACTCATCCTAATCCTGAAATGAGGCCATCGGCGCTATCTCTGATGCAACACCGAGTCATGTGTCCGATCGGGAAGAAAACCAAAGCTCAGTTGCGAAGGGAATTGAACGCTGAGAAGCTGAAGAATGAGATCCTGTCCAAACGACTCCATGACGCAGCAATGTACCTGAAGTCTATTGCACCCAACTTTGCCGTTGAGGGTGGTAATTGTGACCGACTGTTGCGACCGATACCCACCAGATTTCCGTCATCCCGTATTATAGGCAGAAAAGTCAATCGTAGTAATAGCACTACGAACTTTTGAATCTTTTCCTCGTTGAATTTTTGACACCGGTAAAGTTTAGAAAGGTGGAACTCTTGAAGGAGCGACTGGTTTCCTGAGGTCACCTTAACATGTGATACCGTATTTAGTTATTTAAGTATGATTACCCCCAGTAAAGACGTTTACACGCCAGAGTGCCGAATAAAATTACATATGATTGTAAGTGGCATTCCTCCCCATGATGATTATCTCCTGTAATACGATTGACGTTCATTATGTAGCTGTAAACGACTTAATATCTTTTAGTACTCTTATTATAATGTATGGTTGTGTATTTTCTTCTGGATTGTTATCGAAATTTGTTAGTACACGAGCGTATTATGAGCAAGTTTGGAGTAATTTTTTGGGAGAGCGCTGAGGGTAAAAAGTTTGATTTAATTGAAGGTATAATTAACATTCAAATATGACAAAATAATATAACATTAGTAGAAGTGGTTGGTATAAAATTTGTTCTAAATTATGAGATGAAACTGCATTATAGCAGGCTAATTTTGTGCAGTAAGAAGGTTTTTGAGGCCACTTAATACTCTTTCCTGTTTCACCGTTTATACAATCTCTTGCACTCATCGATTGTTTTTTTTTCTTTTACATACTGGGCTCTAAAACTTCTTATTCTGATACAAAGTTTTTTCATTAAAGCAATTTTATTCTATCTCGGTATGCAGTGCATGCTGAGTAATAATAAATAAAAATCGCATGTGAGCGAATTAATATAACTGTGCCTTTTACCATTTTTGCACGTTTAATATTTATATGCTATAAAATCTAAAAGTGATTTCATTTTTCAAAAAGTTGAAGGTTTATCACAATTTTCTTAACGTATAAACGTTTTTTTTCTTTTATACTGTATAAAACAACATTTTTTTTGTAAAAGTGACAATGCACGACTGAACAGGCATGTTCTAATTGCATTTACAACGAAAATTGTTCTTATATCTCCTTATCCTGCTTTTGCTTGCCGATTGTAACGCTTTCTTTACAATCAACTCGTCAACGAAGCACAGATTATTTTGTACTCCCTTAAAGAAACCAAGTTTCATCTGTACAAAAATAATAAGTACGCCCATACATACACTTGTCTATCTTATTGTTTTTTCACTTCAGTCAGTATTTTGCCAAAAAGTAATAGGAACGTCATTATTTATGCCTTTAAATGTAATTTTAGCTATAGCGTGAAATCTCAGGTGGACCTTATATGTTTTACTACTGTAGTATAACGTTTTGTACAATGTGTAGTTTATTACTTAGCTAATCCATCAAATGCCTCATTATCTGTCTAAAGTTAAAAATTTTACGTTACGATATTATGCAGACTATTAACTGCGTAAGTTCCATAGTGTAAAAGAAAACATTTTATAGCTAATGATTCGCGATTATTTTCTATTTCATTCAAGATTGGCTAAGTATTAAAGCTATGTAACATTTAGATAATACTACTTATACATCCACTTATCGCTGTGCCTTTACGCCATAATATAAGAAACTAACGTTCCTTGTTAATTCTAACGACTCGCATGTTTCTTATTAACTATTTTTACCAGATCGCAAAATAATTTTAGCACATGATTTTGTGCGTATCTAATCCTGAAATAATTACTCTATTTAATCTTACAAAGTTAAACAGAGTAACAATCGGTTTATAAAATTACTGGCATCAGCATGGCATTTGATTTACATGTAGCTGAAATTTAAGAAACAGGTTTTCCATACCTTTTCGGAAAATATTCATTTTTACAAAAATTAGCAATTATTTAATAGAGCCGGAAAAATTAAAGAAATGCAAATACCCGCGTTACATCAAGGATTATTTTAAATGCAAGTAACATGTAAGGAAAAATCAAGTTCAATTCTTTTCTATGATAAAGATACTGCTTTGATTGTTTTAATCGATTTTAATGGAATTTATCTTATTGTGATTACGCACATATGCTTTCTTACATGCGATACAAACATTTTATTCATAGTCAGATGTTTTAAAATTTAGACACACAAGTGTTCAAATTTGCTGAACGGTACGAATTTTGAACTTTTTTTTATATGTAGAATCACACTTCAACATTCTCTGAAATTTATATCTGGCCGTTATAGAATAATCCTTAATATATGTATAACATATGCGTTTCTTTAATTTATCTATTAAAGTACTATTAAATAAGTACTGTAGTTACTAAAAAACTTGGAGCGCGACAAGATAACAAAATTGAAAACCTGTTCAGTTTTAGATTGAATGATTATTTGAAAGTGTCACAAATTGAGTTTTGTTCGAAATACAAACATGACACGAGCAATTATCAACAGATGACAGTTTCCAATCATGAATGACAAGTTGATAGTTCCTACGTTTTTTCTGCTGAACTCTTTCTCCGCGTATTGAAACTTTTATTTTTTCGCAGCGAGAACAATTGCTAATAATAGACATTCGTGCTGCTCAGGTGATATGTGTTAGCATTTACTTTGCAGGATTTCACTATTTCCCAAAGATTGATGTTATCGTTAATATACACGTTGACTTCTGTAAACGTTTCTTCGAAGCCAACTTCGTCATTCCTCTGTGTTATAAGGCATGCTGATATAATTCGAATCTTTAGTATTAATATTAAATAATTAGGGAGGGCTTGTGAAGTGCGACTTGGATTGTCTTCGTCTGTCCCGAGCGACTGAGCTATATCACTATATTGAAATAAAAAAGCGTACTTTCTAAGAACTTTTAGTATTTTAAGAAAAATCATACATTTTGTACAAAATTTTGAGTTTAAACTGTATAATTGTATCGTAAAATAGTGACGTTTTGGGTTATGCATTATTTTTTTATATCTTTTACACAAGTTTGTATAATAAATGTTTATTATATCTTAACATGTTATTATAGAACGATATAAATTAACGATATAATGATGCAAAAAATATACTCAATCGATTAATTTGTAAATGGATAGGATATATGAAATTCAATTGATTTATTAATTTATATACTAATCGATCAATTCATTGATTCAGTGATCAAATCAATTAATGATTCCCGTTAATAAGCAAAACAAAAGATTGTTCAAATTATATTTTGTGTCTTTCATATTGAGATTTGTATCGTTTTATATAATACTGTGATTCCAATACGCCTTTATTATACAAAAACGTATTATTTATCTGCAAGTCGCATTACGCTCGGGAAAGATGAAAAGAGCCGAGCAGTCGCATGTTACGAACTTGCCTCGTAAGATTTTTTTACTTTCCTCGATTCTAACGAACAGCATGCCAAGTCAATATCTCCATTTTATATAATAGGCCGTTAGTTATAATTAATAGATCTGACATGTATTTAAAATATCTCCGGCTTTGTCATATAGACATCTTTGTCCCTTTTCTTTTTGACACGGAGCCGAAAATCTTGCGCCCGTTCATCGAATGTGATACATGCGAAGGAAGAAGTTCACGAATTTTGTATTACGGTATTCGCATAATACGCCTAGTATTAAGACGCATTATATTTATATGTATGAAAATAACTCTAAAAATATGTCGCACATAGGAAAACGTACGCATGAATGTCTTTCTAAACGAAGAAGGAAAAGTGAAGTTTTAACAGCACCGGGACGAACTTTCAAACGCGAACAAGTTCATATCCTGCTTGAGTTTAAGTCGTTTCGATTATTATTAATTATTATATAATTATTATTATCATTATTAATTATTAACTGATTGTTACGCTTTCCATTCTCACAATCTCCATCGTGTAATTACAAAGAACGTTACTTCGCGCGAGGCCGTCTAACTCGGATGGTTTCCGGCGAGCACTGGTAGACATGGTGCTATGTGCGTGTACAAATCAGCGGGCCCGGCTCCGTAGGAGCCTCCGTTAAAATCGGCAGTATCTTTAAAGCGTGTGTCACCTGATTTTCACAACGTGCGTAATACATCACGTACCAATGATTTGATTGGAAAACGGTTGTTAATGTTGTATGGTTTGCATTCCTCTTTCATCATTGAATTTACTCTTACTGACATTTTGTGAGATAACACTTCAAAAATCAATAAAGGGAGCGAAAAAGCAACGTGTATTGTTGAATGCTTAACGATCGATGATTCACTGCGACCACGATACCTTATCCCAGGGGACCACGTTTTTATGCACTTGTACAATCCCGGCGGTTCAGAAGAGATTCAGAAACGAGCCGATTCGAGCGGACCAGCGTCGTTCAATTCTCTCCTGTTGGAATAAAGTTCCACGATGTTCTAGATTAACTGCTGTTTCGGATATTTTGTTTTTATTAAATTTCTTGTCACGTGGTCAGAAATCAAATCTAACTTTTCTGCCTGATGGGCGACCGCATTGAGCTACCCAGTATCTCGAATTGAGGATCTAAAAAAGAAAAGATTTTCGTGAATAATCTGTAAAAGTTCTCCATTTTTTTTTCTTCTGAAGTGGACTTCGATAAAATCTAACTTGATGCCTTAAACACACTTAACGTCACCAATTAACAGTTCATTAAAAGAGACGCCTGGATCGAACAGGGAGAATGCTTTTAATTTTAATCGAGGTCGTTTTCCTCCGCAGCTTTCGCTTCCTCGGTGACTTCTGTAGAGCTTGATCGCACAGAACTATCAAGGAAAAGATTACTTTCCGAGAACATACTTTACAAATGATTATATCGCAGATCTGTCGGGCTTCCTTTCTATTTTCAAAGTTCGCGCGCTGTACAGAGTTACGGAATCTGTTCGTTGTAGCTGAACTGGCTGCACTAGTTCGGCTATAAAGAACAGACCCACGATGTGAAGTGCACGGTACGTACGCACTTGTCATTCTGTAATCCGCGGTCGTCTACGACGTCTACGTCACTCGTAACCAAGGAAACCTTTCGCCCGTTTCGCCTGCAGTTTTCATCCTGCCATTCCTGATTTCTACCTTGAAGATGTCACGATGCCCGGTGCAGTCCCGTTGACGCGAAGAGAGGAGCCTCGAAGTTAAACGGGAGGAGCGATAATAATAATTCTTGGCGTGAACCGCGTCGCAGACTAATTGATAACCTTCAATGTCGTAAATAATTCCGCATGCTATTACGTCTACGAAAGCTACTTTCACGACAAGTTCACGAGTTCTCCTTCTTAGATTCACAAATATATACATGTATTACGTAGCTCGCAATGTTCTCGTTTATAATTTTTTGTCAATTGTAGACGCGTGATAGCAGTGTAACGATGCATGTAACGGTTACGCCGCAATAGCTGTCAAATAAATCTACTTCTGTGTACGCGGCAAGTTTCCTCGTTCGACCGGCACCAGTTTCGATTTCCCGAATGTGCCACGGGAAGTAGACACGTTTCTCTCTTTCCACACTCGTCCATCGCTTCCAGATACCTCCCAGTAAACGCCAAAATGAGTCACGTAGCATCAATAATTATAATTTCCCTCAACAATGTAAATATAATCGTACAATAGGAATCGCTATAATGCGTCGTCTACAATGCATGGAGTAAGCCTGGAGTTACGAGTAGGAGTGAGGAAATTAAGCAATTTTATTTCTTGCTCCTACTTTAGCTCTTAAGCTTAATCTCAGCGAATCAGGGGATCAATTCTGTATCTTACGCTATATAGTGAAGATGCTAAAAGTGAACAGCTTTGTCTCTTTCTAGCCGTGCCCTTAAAAAAGACAAAGCCGCTCACTTTTAGCAGTTTCACTCATGTATTTTACAACATAGTGAAAATGCTAAAAGTGAACAGCTTTGGCTCTTTCTAACCGTGGCCTTAAAAGAAGACAAAGCGGCTCACTTTGAACATTTTCACTATATTGTAAAATACATAATTGACCCCCTGTATCCTGCAAAGGGACAAAGCCGCTCGCTTTTAGCATTTTCACTATATTGTAAGATACAGAATTGACCCACTGTATCTTGCAACACAGTGAAAACACTGAAAGCGAGCGGCTTTGTCTTTTTTTTTAAGGGGACAGTTAGAAAGAGACGAGGCTATTCACTTTTAGCATTTTCACTATAGCGTAAGATACAGAATTGACCACTGGAACGCCATCGGCCAGTGTTACAAATATTTTAAAAATTATCCCTGTATTTTAGCTTTCTTGCACCAAAAGCTAAAAGTTACGGTTCTCTCTTGTTCCTTACGCCAGGCCTTGCTTCACGCATTGAAAACGACACCGACAATGCCTTTCCACATAAATTTGTGCACGTATCAATGCATTTATACATTTTGCATATACATACGGTTGTGGTCAGAAAGGTTGTCCGACGTTTTACAACAAGTTTTCGCAACATTTGTATCTAACATTGCATAGATATTCGTACATATTGTTCCTTTGCTCTAATAATGCGTCGCTGCACATATCCGTGAGCAAAAACTGTAATCTCTAGCATGATAGACTGTATTTTTGCAAAATTTATCATAAAACGTTGAACAACCTTTCTGACCACGACCGTACGTGGAAAATTTATCTGTGTTCCACGTGTGCATAAATTAATGCGGGAAGACATCGGTGATCCCTAGTGTGTATGACAGTTACATTTGTTGAGTAGGAAACTATAATATTGATGCAACCGATGTGATTGACGTTGTGCAGTTGGCGTCTGCTGGGCTGCGTGATACGCTTTCATGTAACACGAGACGCGCGTAGATAAGTCACCGAGATCGGCGCTTGTGCCTCCGGATTATTTACTCCCTGCAGGAGCCCGTTTGCTGATCGACACTGTCGTCTTTTGCGCGTAGCGTTTTTCTGTAACAAAATTTGAGCAATTACATACATGAAATTATAAGAATCTACGTCGCAATTATTTCTCTCCCGCTTATATCCTGATTATACAATCACTAGCAATTAATAGGATGCGTTTGCAGCAAGTTTCTTACAACTTTTCATCTAACGTTTTATGCATCTTGTTTCTCAAGAACGTTATTTTCAATGTTATTCCGTACGAGAGGATCGACCGTAATACATTTACGGTGTCGGTTAATTTGACTTGTTCGAAAACGAGCTTGTATAATTGGAACATAACTCGCAGAAATTTGTGCCAACAATGTCGCAAAGTCGAAGAGTTAACTTCATGTCTCTTTGCTCCTTTCACACCTCATTGAAAATGAATTTCTGTAGAGCCTGAAAATCTTAGCTTTCACGCATGCTTCTTTAGGTAAGATTATCAAGGATGACTTCTAAATGCGTTTAATATGCAAATAATTTCCCTCGAGCGCGAGACACGGAAGGATACATTTCGCATTTTTCTTTCATTCAGGTGTGCCTCGAGATTATTAAGATAATTTAAAATGTGCGTAAAGATCAATCTACAGCCGAGAAAGAAAACCAGTCTTTTCTATCGATACGGATATGTGCTCTTAATGCTCGTATGCATGGTGTTTGCAACTATTCAGCCGCACATCGGCGGAACCAACGGTAAATCAGTTTTCCAACGTACTTCAATAAAGAAGAGAGAAACCACGGAATGAGTTCCCGCAATATTTTCGTGCCGATTCGGGATTAATTGTTACAAGTATTGCGCTTTTCGTTACAGGTATAATCAACGGTAACTTTATTATTCGCTATTTCGCTGTACCTTTAACGTACTTGGAAGCTGGATTGTTATGCGACCCCAAGTCTCTTTACTCGACCCTGAAGGACGGCTATCTCCTGACATTTGTCATGGTTTTCGTGTACGTTTTGATGCCCTTTCTGGCACGGATCGGGACGCACCTGTTGACCTACGCTAAAGTTAACGTGTGGATGCTCAAAGGAATGGAGGTGATTAAGAACATTTGTAATATACAGTAGACGAATCACACACGATAGACGGATGTACTAAATCCGATGGCCGTAACTTATACCGGTAAAGAGATAACTATGCGTTATTATATCTTCCAGGTCCTTTACTGCATGCCACCACCGTTCAGCACGGGACTCGCCCTGTGCCGTTTGGCACAGGCTGATCTGCCTACGAGCGTAGTCACCACGCTGGTGTCGCACTTCGGCGGATTATTCTTGTCTCCTCTTTTACTGTATCTAATGGTACATCCTTTCAACCGCCGGAAATATTACTAGACTGCGCTTATTCAATAATCTATCGTTTACCTTCGCGTTTTTGTATTTATACTGTTCCAGCATACGTTTACAATTTATCTTTTTAAATAGCTGTTCTGAAAGATTACAAGCTGCCACGCGCGATTTCCTTTAACAGTTAGGAACATCCACTCCACCATTAGTCGGGATCAACATCAAGGAGACTGTGTACAGCACGCTTATTCCACTGGGGATAGGTCTCGTCCTACGGGCGTACGTGCTGAAGAACAGATGCTTGAACGTTAACACGAGTTGGTTCTCCCAAGGTTTATTGCTGGCAATAGCGTACCACTGGTTTTGCGACGCCGTGCTGGCGGATGCCTCGTCGTTGCAAGCGGTGGATATACTGTTCTGCGTACTCATTGGTAAGTCGTATAACTTGTACTTCGAGCTTTCACCCGCCTTTCGTCTTGCATACTCAACGTATGTCCATTCCAAGCGTGCCTGGGCCAGCTCCTTCTCAGCAGTCTGTGCTGGATCTTGTGCTCCCAGTGGTTGCCGCGGGAGATTCTGCTGGCCGCGTTATTCACCAGCACTCACAAGTCCGTCAGTCTCGGCGGTTGGATCTTGCGTGGGGCGTATCACGGTTCGGCTTACGGGCCAGCAGTCAATTTACCATTGACGATATTACCCGTTGCACAATTGCTGTTAGGTAGCTTGTTAGCCAGCTGGCTGGCTCCGTAAGAAAACTTTGCACCTTTAAAGTTGTGCGAGATGCACGGCGATTAACATCCGTTTTTGTGCTCTATCTTCCCGCCCTAAAAGGAATGGGTCCGTAACAATTATTACCGATCAACTTTAGAAGGTATTTGATCACACTGTAGTATCAAAAGGTTATTACAAAGCATGGAATACTAGAAATCAAATTGAATAAATATATCAACATCTTTATACATTTTTTTTCAAGATTATTAACTAGGTAAATTCAATGCAGAAAATAATTTTATTCGTTCGATAATTATCCGAAATTATGTTTTGGAATAAACAATTTCCCGCACGGATATTCATATGTTGCTCATGATCGTTACATATAGTGTAATTCAATACTTACCTTAAAACTGGATGGAATGGTTTGTAGGAATGATGTATTACTGCTTTAGTCTGGATTGAAAGAATTTATGTAAATAATGCGCGAAATACTTTATATATATATATATATATATAGATATAGATATATCTCATTGCATTTCTCAGCAACCTAATCCACTGACATCTTTTAAAAAGAAACAATAGGAGATACATTGTACTGCTCATTATTATAAGAACCGTTTTTAAATAGGTACAATAGATAAAAGTCAACAGCCAATCGAGCGAGATGTTACGACTTACGATTGAATCATACAATATAGATACCTATTTAGATTGTATAAATTACAAATATAGTTTCCTCATCTTCGAATGAAAAAGTTCTCGATATCCTCGAAATTACAAGCTCCTACTTATTCTAAGTCCGTCTAGCGTGTTAACGAGTCTTTAAAACAAGAGCTAGAAAAAAAAACCGATTCGAGTTCTACGTACAAAAGAAGAGGACTTGTGAAACTCAGAATGACAGGTGTTCCTTTTTTTTCTTCCCATACAAAACATAGCGATTTTATTCTACAAATAATGGGGATAAATTTTGTTTAATTATGCCTGTTCGAGAAAACTTGCATGTTTACTTTTCTCCTTCTTTTTTCCTTTCTCTATTTGTGGTGCGCCGCTTAATGCGGTACGTTGTACCGTCACTAGTGTGCGCACATGTATAGTATATTTAATAATATTAACAAATAGTGTAACACTCATGATAACGCTGATGAGCACGATGTAATTCGATTCCTTCGTGAAAATCATGGCAATGGATGCATCAAACGGCGGTGCAGCAATGTAGGCGTAAGTACCAGGTCGCGTACGACGATCGGCCCGGATGGTCACGCTGTCGTTACATTTGACACCAAGCTCCTGTCACAAACGGCGCTGACGCTGACGCCGATGCTGCTATCGCCGCCAGCTACGCGACTCGCCGTCCTCGTCTTCTTCCTCCTCGTTCTCCTCTAAGAGTGCCTCCGCCTCCGTGCCCTGGAAAAATTACATCTTTAACGCTTGAAGAACCAGCAGAAGATACGGAGGTGCTTTTGTCGTAGGATATTTAATTAAACCTGCACTGCCCAAAAGAAAAGGCGTGTTACATCGGTGCTGCGTTTTATGGAAATTTCAGACCAAATAAAATTTCTTTCCGTTAAATATCTTCTTTGTCTATTTACGAAATCCAAACGAAAGACGTAGGAAAGTCTTAATCAATAAAACCTAAATATATCTTAAAAAATTAAAATTCTAAATTTCCAGAGTATTATCAGAATTTTTCTTGATTTCTTAAATAACTTATTTCTATATTCTATTTTTAAAAGGATTATTATTCTTATTTAAAATCGGATTCTCTCGCTCACCTCCAAGTCAATATCTTCGTCTGCGCTAGGTGCAGTCTGCTCTGAACGTGACGTGAGCTGTATAGTTGCGCTCGAGTTAGTACCGGCTCCTCCACGATGTAGATGATGGCCGGACACCCAAGTTATTGATAACAATCTGTCTTGAAATGTGCGTCCTTTCACTAGGGCCACTTCAGCTTCTTTCCTCGATTTGAAATTGATAACGATCGAAGGTGTCGCATCGTCTACTATTTGATTCACTATCTCACCAAATTGCTGCAGCACAAGAGAAAATTGGCGATAATATTAATTGCACGTCGTGTGCTTGTTGAAATATTAATGAAAAAGAAATGGAGCTTCGGCCATACATTTGTAAAGTCTTGTGTCCACGATCCAAGAACTGTGTTCAAATTCTAGTTCAGTTAAAGATGCAAGTTAATTGGCTGCATATTTATCCGAACTAGAACTTGGACACAGTTCTTGGATCATGGAGACAAGGCTTAACAAATATACAATGCAAAGGTGTCGTTTACTAGAAAAAAAATAACACATCGCTTTAATCTCGAATTGTTTCTGCTGGCAATGAATAAGTTTACGGAAAATAATTAAAATTATTAGAGAAATACAGAGGAAATATAAGTGTAGCGTGCACACAAAATCTCTTTCGTATGTTTGTTACTCTGGAGCGACAGAAAGATCGCAGTATCGAAATATCACGAATGCACCAATCTTACTTGAAAATGCGCTAGAACCTCAGCCTTTTCTTCAGTTTCATAACCGGAGACTAGAAGACTCGTTGGCCGGTGATCCACCGAGACGTGAGCAAAACTTCCTCTGCCGCGGCCCCGGAAGGACAGCGCGTGGGTGCCGCGCGCGACTCTGCTGACCTTCGCGCCTCTACCCACGCCGGGATTCGCGTTCAAGCCCAACGCGGCCGCCTGGGCGCGAAGTTCGTTCAATCTCTTCTGCAACTCGCCAGCGTCTTGGCCCTCCTGCTGCGCAGTCATTAAATCTAACTCGGCGTCCAGTATCTCCTTCTGCGTTTGCTCCCTGGACTTCACCTGCGACTTATTGCCACCGATCTGACCGTTCGCGCCTAAATCCTTGCGCAAATTGTCGACCGACTGCTGCATAGCCTTTATCGTCGGCATGATCGACTCCTTTTGTTCCGGATTCTTTTCGGCCTTGTCAATCAGGGCGCGTAATTCAATCAGATGCTTGTCCAGTAACTCCTGTTTCCTCTTGCGCAGATCGGCGGTCAGCTTTATCGCCTCCTTACGCTTCTCCTCCTGCTTCTTCTTCAGCGTTTCCTTAGCCGCTAACATCTCCTGCGTTTTTTTTATCGCAAGAACCTTGTCTTCTCGAGTAGGAACAACGGCAGCTTTAGGTGAAGTCGGAACCAAGGTTTGCGTGACTTGTTCCTCGGTCGAACGACGCGTAGGAACGTACTCGTTTTCCTCAGTTTTTGCCGTTATTGTTACCGCGGCGCCCAGCCTTTCCTTCACAGAGGGACGGCATCCTGAATACAATAAAATTCTTCGTGTCTAAGTCACGATCGGCGATTTAATATTTAACATGAATAATAAAGGATGCGCTGCCTTACCCGGTGGCACATTTTCGATAGCTCCACCAGCCGCATTATTATTGACGTTATTATGCCAAAATACTTTAATAAATCTATTATTCAACACAGCCTCTGTGCTTCTGTAAGCGGACTTTGCTTCGGCAGGTAGTTGGAAGGTAACCAACGCTGCCTCGGGATCGCCACCAAAATTCACTTGAATATTTACAATTTTACCGAATTTGGAAAAATGATTATTCAATTGTGTTATGTTGTTTAAGCTCCGTGGGACCTTCTTCAGTTCGAGAGAGCAATTGGCCGGGTTATGCACTACTCTCTGCTTCGGTCCCAGCCGATTAAAGTCAAACGTTTGTTTGCGCTTCAGCGGATTCTGGGTGTGGGTTATTTCCGACGAATTTGTGTGGGGAATAACCGGTACACTGATCAGCTCTCTTTGCCCCCTGCCGTAAATCCCAGGCGCGGGTGGCGGATGCCTTCCCCACGGCATTCGCGGCTCCATGCTAGGTGCGTCCGGGTTATACTCTGCGAAAGCATCTAACATATTTAATTTTAGAAATACCGTGCTTATAACTGTAATCCTATAATACATAAAGTTACAACTTTATATAGCTACTCTTTCTTTTCTAATTAGTCAGTGTCAGAGCTACAAAATCTTCATGCATTAATAGCTCACAATTTGACTGATATTTTAAATCAAATGGTTGAAAATTGTAATTTTGTAATTTTTACTAGTGCCTCTTTTAATATGTAGTTTTCCTCTTAAAAAAAAAAACATATTGCTTTAGTGTGACATTAAATTATTAAAACAATTACAATGAGATTTGCAAGATGTGAAAACACGTACCCATATTAGAATGGTGGTTTCTTAAGTGAGGTGGTGGTAAACTCGCAAGAGGAAGATGTGGCGGTGGTGGATTGCCATTAGGACCCTGCGGTGGTTCTGGCACCGTGGCAACTGGGACTGTTCCTGGAGCTTGAGCACTGTGCGGGCCGAAACTCAAAACTCGACTAAGTGCCACATCTTCCAGCACGACTGGGTCCGTGCCGTGATCATAGGGACAAAGATCTCCCCTCATGCAGTATCCCTTTTCTACAAACATAAATACAAAAGAGATAATGATATCTAAATGGAATTATGATTTTGCGTCACTCTATTGTCACTGCCAGTTTAAATCTTTAGAGAAATGTTCATTAGACGCCACAGCTATTCCGCTTTCTAAATTGTTGAGATACATACCGTCGAAGTCTCTGCAACGTCTCTTTGCTTGTTGTTGAAAAGAACCGGTCTGATTATTTGGAATACTACTCGCAACGGCGACAACACTTTGTATCGATTGACTAGTCGTAGACAGCCTCATGTCTACATCTCCGTGATTACTATCCTGGGTCGGCGTACCACCACCAGGACTCCCCTCGATTCGATCCGTTCTATCTACCTCTATTCTTTCGAAGCGGTCGATCTTCTTCCGCTCTATCGATCTTGAGCGCGATCGGGATCGAAGCGGCGTCGGAGATCTGTTTCTAAACCTCGCTCGGTGATCGCGGACGTCTGGGACGTCGCGTATCCTAGGTCGTATCGGTGATGTACTGCGACTCCTTGTACGTCTAAGAGATAAACATACACAGTAAGATACTCAAGGGCAGTTTAAAAACTCTGAGGAAATGGAAAGTCAATCGAATCAATTGAATAGGAACAAACTAACAAAGAGGTGTCTTAACTTATAAACATTAAACAGTCTAAGATATGCATCGCTCATCGTTAGGGAATTACTCAACTACGACTGTTAGTAAAATCTTTTCTCTCAAAGCATTAAAGAGTGCGTAATCAGGCCTGGGAATTGTGATAAAAGCATTAAACTTCGTTAGACAACTCGAGTACAGACACATGAGGTATATCGCACCTGCGATCATGTCGTCTGGTACTGATCGGCGGAGATTCATTTCGCCATGGGCGACTTCTATCTCTTTCCCTATCACGCCGTATGTGTTCTCTACTTCTGGATCTACGTCGGTCCCTTTCCCACGATCGTGATCGTGATCGTGTTCTCGACCTCATTCTTCCACTCCTATATTTTACATAGCACGATAATAGAAAATCCAATATATTAAGACTTAACTTGCTAAAATCCTTGTATTATTTTTAGCTCTTCTTTTCTAATATAAGCTATAAACATTGGCGTGCACTGAGTCAAAGAGGCATTAATTTTATACTTTTCTTTTAAAAAGAAAATTAACGAAGACGTAATTACCTGCTTCGAGATCGTTTTTCCTTTTCCTTATCCTTATCTGAATCAGACTTTCTAGTCTCGCGTTTACTAATTACGGCAGGCGCGGATCCATTAATTTGAAGTGGAACAGAGGGATTCGTAACTAGATTCGGTACTAGTGGAATTGTCGCGTCCATTATCTTCTCCGTTGAAGGCGGTACAATCGGAGCTGGCGGATTCACGCCGGGTGGTGTCCCACCACCGTCCGGATCGCTCTTAGGCGGTGGGAGCACGTACTCCTGGGTCTCCAATGTCTTGAAGAGCAATTCCACAAAGTTTTTGGTTTCTGGAAGCAACAATTGCGTATTTAATGTCGGGAAAACGACGGCTCGTCAGATCCAAAATTTATATTATCCAATATTTTACGTAAACGTACCTTGCTGCAGAAACACATCCAACTGCTCGACCATACCACCGCGTAGTTCCTCCAAAGTTTTGTCCTTCTTGACCAGCGCGTAGACATATTTGGCTAGAGCAGCAGGATCTGCATCGCATCTGGCGGAGGAAGAGAAATTATTTGGTAACGGACCTTCGTTGTCAAAGGAAGTGAGAAAAATGCTTCTGCTACACAAATACCTAAAAGGCTCATTATGAAAAAAAAAACGTAAATGTCACCGGTGTTTATCAAATTAAATCCCCAACGTTCTGTATTAAACGTGAAACTTTTGTGCTCCAATATGCTCGATCAAATTCAACGATACCGTTGACAAGAGATACATTTTGTATTAAGATTAAAATGCGTAAAATAATTATACAACGTTGCCATAAATAAAACACAAATGTACAAGATATTCTAATGTAAAGAAAATTATCAAGTATATTACTTGTACTGAGAACTAAGCAAGAGAAAGTATAACACATGTATATATGAAACATGATCCATAGACTTCTAAGAATTATCTGAACCTAAGAATTATCTGAATCAGATACTTAAATTAGTAGCAGCTCAGCTGCTTGCTATTTTTTTTAGTAACTCGTTTACACAATCCTGCAATCGACAGTTTGTTGAACACCGTGGACGTTAAAAGATCTTCTTCAGCGAAGAGATGCAAACTTACAACATAACTGCAAAGTATCTTGTACATTATGCACCAAGCATCGCGATGCAAATAAATCGTTCAATACCTTGCTAGATTTAATGAAAGTGAAGCTTACATTTAATCAGGAATCAGGAGAATTGAAAAGAGGCGTAAATCGCACTATACATTTATATCCTTAAAGCAAAAATGCGCTTCTTCTTCAAGCAACTGTGTAGAATAAACCGAATGTCAATATGATCAAGCAGAAAATCACGACAGCACATTCACCCCAAAAAAAAAATTCATATTCATCAGTCTTTAACTTAACAGTTCTCTGTATTATCTAAATCAGATTTTCTCCTGGACAGGACATTTAATTACTTTCAATTAATGGCAGCTCATTAAGAATCAGAGTTTTACGTTGAAAACGCTCAGAGGAAGTAACATCCATCACTCGGCGAGAAACAATCGTCCAATCGTTCCACCCATCGTGGAATACGCGTCGTCCGGAATGAAAAATACCAAGGATTCTCCACTCGGTCCAACGCGGACGCGACAACGTCCGCCGTGGCGTATCAAACGAGGGACCGACACATGATACCTCGATACGGCCCCAAGAATTCAACACTCGCAGCGAGCGGACGAGCCGTCGATTACGAGGAGTACGGTAACTCCGCTGATACGAGGACGGGGACGGGGACGGAGAAGGAGGAAGCGAGGGCGGCCAGGGGTTGGGGGCGGAGGACGCGAGAGCAACCTCGTCGTGTAAATAACCGTGCCACACGGGGTGCGCGATGCGGCGCGGCGCGGCGCGGCGCAGCGCGGCAGAGCGACACATGTACGGCCATTTACGAGAGCACTGTGCCGCTGTACACACATACGTATACGCGCGGAGTGGTGCACTCTGATCAGGGGGAGCGCGGACTGGCCTACTTACAGCGGCTCCAGCACGGCGGTGAGCCACGCCTTGAACTGGTCCGGATTGTTGATTATCATCCTCGGCGGGTACCGCGTCACGGTCCAGCATAGAAGGCCTCGCGGGACACACGTCAGTCACACGGGGTACCACAGGCGAGAGCGAAGCCAGTCTACTCTACCAGGTGAGGACAGTCGCCATTCTGAAAATCAGTCGCTGTTGCATTGACCGCGGAGTGCTCGCGGTCACCCAGAAGACGCACCGACCGGCGAAGGTGCGTCGCGGTAACAGCTGCTGCCGCGTCCGGACCGCGGCCGGAGGTGGCGCCGATCGCGCCGACGCGTCCGCCAATAGGAGGCCACGAGATCGATTCAAGCCTGCGTCACACTACGAAAGGTCAATTTTGTGTGTCTCAAACCTATCACACAATGCCAGGCAACAGACAATAGGAATAGAAAATAGAATTTTTGACGCGTTGGATTCGTCAGAAATTTTCTACCAACCAATCCAACGCGTCAGAAATTCTATTCCCTGTTCCTGTTGCCTGTTGCCTGGCATTGTGTGATGTAAGCCTATCACACAATGCCAGGCAACAGGCAATAGGAACAGGGAATAGAATTTTTGACGCGTTGGATTCGTCGAAAATTTTCTTCCAACCAATCCAACGCGTCAGAAATTCTATTCCCTGTTCCTGTTGCCTGTTGCCTGACATTGTGTGATAGGCTGTAGGCTTCACACTATGGCCGGTATTCATCTTTTATGGAATAGCCGCAAGTTGATTGGCTACACATTTCTCGGAAAACAAACTTGGACCAAGTATCGTGAACGCAATTAAGCCTTTAAGGCCTGTATCCACGATGCTAGAACTTGGACCAACAGGCCTTTAGAAAAAGACGAAGCTGCTCACTTTTTGCATTTTCACTACATTGTAAAATATATAATTGCTCCCCTGGCTTGTGTCTACGATGCTAGAACTTGGTCCAAGTTCCGAGAAATGTGTATTATAGCTGATCAACCTGCAGCTTTTATGAAATTATCCGGACCACTCACAAATCTTTTTAATTACACTTCATAACTCTTTGTACAAAATACAAACGATTGTATAAAAAAAAACTTTGTTTAATTTATCTATTTCGGTTAAATGCGGAGTGGAAAATAATTATGTTACATATGAACGAATGACTCACAAGTCTTTTCAATTTCACTTAAAATCACTTCATATGAAGTGTAAACGTTTGCAAATAAAAATTATTTATAAATACGTTCTTTTCTCCCGTTTTTTCGAGTGTGGGCAAATTGTTTCTAGACCCAAAAAGCACATTGGAGATCAGGCTTTAGGCTGTCGTTCGCGAAGGATTCTAGGTAGCCAATCGTCTTCCGCGCGTTTCTCGCTCGTCGTGGATTGGCCCGCCACGGCGATGCGTGACGAACTGCGCGAATGAGCTGTTTGTTATTTTGCAGCATCCCTTAGATATTTGGTCACGCGAAGATTCGAGAAGCTCGGGGCAAGCGGATTCGGGATAGTCGGGATTTTGTGCTCAATCTTTTCCGCGTGGTCTCATCGAGCGGGCAATAGGCGTACAATGAGCGAAGACAAGACCAGCGCGAAAACGGAGACCATCAAGGTAAGTGAAAGCGATACGAATAATTTGATGTAAAAATGTAACCGCGAGAAAGAATTGGGGCTAAAAGTCACGTTTTTTTCATAGATGCCCAAGCCAACGATAAAACACGATTGGTACCAAACGGACACCCACGTGGTCGTCACGATACTCGTCAAGAATGTAGAAAACGTCAAAGTTGATTGTGGGCAACGTACAGTACGTATCCTCATCTGCCCGTTTGCCAACAAATGACGCCGCAGCCTCGAAAAACAGCGCAATAATTCTAAGGCCGCGGTCTACTTGGAGTTACAAATGTCTCGAAGCGTTCGCTTGACCGACCAGAGGACAGAGAAGTTGTACGCTTAGAAGCGTTTGTAGCGCCAAGTTTGCGAGACACAATTTTCTTTTGTATTATACTTTCCAAGCTGTGTACTTTTCAACCTTCGGCTACTTAAATAATATTTGAGACATCTCGTAATTCTCACATTGTAGATTGTGATAATTGTTAGTAAGAGGAGAGCTAAGTAAAACTTTCAACAAATTGTAAAATACCGCTTTCTCATTTGTAAAACTTGCAAAATTGTTTTTTAGTTGAGTGTATCTGCAATGTTACCAACTGGCAGTGAATATAGTTTAGAGCTAGATCTGGCCAACTCTGTCGTGGCGGAACAATGTTCGCATAAGGTAATGCCATCCAAGATAGAAATCAAACTGAAAAAGCAGGATGGTATTAGATGGACAGATCTGGAAGGTAATTCAAGTAAATGTCAAGCAAAACCTATACCGAAGGGTAAATGCTGACTCGTGCAATTGCAACTTTTTACTATGCAGTGAGATTTTTAAACCTTTATCTTATGCCATTTAGTTCCTGAATATTTCTTCCGCAATGGTGCTATGATCAATACAACGTATACATGCGTATTGTTTCAGGGAAAGATCCAGCCGACGTACAAATAAACAAGTATCCAAGCTCCTCCAAGACATCCACAGATTGGGATAAGCTAGAAAAGGAAATAGTGAAACAGGAGGCAACGGAATTAGCTGATGGCGAGACTGCGGTGAATGCCCTCTTCCAAAACATATACGGCAGTGGATCCGACGAAGTGAGGCGCGCGATGAACAAGTCTTTCGTAAGTAAAATATTTATCGTTGACAAACAAAAGTTGCTTTGTGAAATAATTTACTTGTTTTGGTACCAAACGTAAACTTAATAAGAAACAGAGAATTTGTTATCAAGATATATGTATGTTTGCAGTCGCTCTCCTAAAGACGAAAGTTAGAAATTAATTTGTGCAGATAAATAGAGGAAAGTCCCCTATTATGGGCTCCTAATATGAGATAGCGGAGTTTCTGCTAAATTAATGGGCATCATCTGTTGGTTCCACCATGAATTTATTGCCTCTGGAGTGAAATCCGTTTAGTGGAAAATTTATTGTTAGATCGTGCGTTCGTTGCGATAAAAATTATGGTTGGATTTGGACGTTGAAAACCCACCTCATATTAGAATCCTGTCTCCTAACAGAGAACTTTCCTCTACATGTAAAATACATAGAATGTAACGAGTCAACATGACATATTTATAAGAAATTTTTCATTTTACGATATATAGATCGAATCTGGCGGCACTGTCTTAAATACGAATTGGGGTGAAGTAGGGCAAAACCGAGTTAAGAGAAGACCACCAGACGGGATGGAGTGGAAATCTTGGAGCGAATAACTCAAAATTTTCTTTCTTTCGTTTTCGATTTTCTTAAAGTTTCATAGTTTTCTGCTTCCACAGTTCACATGTTCGATTCTTAATCAACCGCATATCTTTATAATGTACTATTTATAAATACAATGTATGTTTACAAGGTAAACATATAGTATTGTATTTACTTGAGAATTTTACACGAATGATAATTAACAGTTTTAAAAGTTTTATTTTGTCTTATAATAAAAGATACAAAATTATTAACGTTTCCTTATTATTACGATCATCTGACATGCACTTCAATTTAACTAGATATTTTACAATTGTACAACGTAATTGTATAATTTAAATTGTACATTATTAAAGAGGCCAGAGGAAATAAATGCTCACAACACTACGTGATAAAAAATACGATGTACTTTGCCTGGCAAGTGTGAACAAGCTTTTATTACCTGATGAAAGAAATTTTTACTTTCACTGTTCACCTCTATTTACGACTTCCTTTACAATATTCTCAAATTCTGTATACTATATGTTACCGATAAAGGGTTTAATCAATAATTAATTACAAATCGGAAAGAATCACGCTAGATCCGCCGAAGTTTCGCTTGTACCTGAGCAATGTAAATTTTTAATAATGTGTATATATAAGCTTCCGTTACTTGTAAAAAATATACGATCCACATACGTAAATACCTCTCTTGATGTAACTCGCTCCTGAAATCAACAAATTTGCTGAATACTTGGCAGAAGTTACCAAGATATTCGACGTGCTAGATTGACCGCTTTCTTTGTCTAAATCTACAGGCTTTTCTTTGCCTCTACCGATATCCATTGCTTGGGAGAACTTGGTATTGACTGACTGCAGTATCTTTTTTATGTCGGACAGCTCATTTGTATGCGTATTTAGTAACGACTGATTCTTTTCTTGCGCTACCTCTACGGTATTTCGTATGTCTAATATCCTCCAGTTATTGAGTATCATTGAACCGATCAACGACACGATCGCTAACGCGGCCGAGGCGATAATGGATAAGTACTTGTACTTCTGTGCGTTTAAGTTCTGGCTAACGTGATAGTCTTTTATCGCCGTTGCCAGCTGTGTAAAATTGTCCCTCTCTTCTTTCTCGGATAGCGCCAGTTGGCTAATGACTTTCTTCTGCTCCTGTAAAAACTTGTGTTCCACTATCGTTAACTCCACGTACTTGGGATCGTCCCGCTTCGTCTGAATCAGCTCCGCGTAGTTATTTTGCAACTTAAAAGCTACATCCGTTAAATCTTTATTCAGTTTTCTCCGATAGTCCTGACATTCGAACAGTTTGTCCTGAAGACTGATCACTTGCTTTCTGGCCGTCTCGACCGTATTCATTCCTACCAGCTCATTGTACCATCGCCACCACTTAACGACCTTATCCGGCAACGGTGCGCCGGATTCTGACGCCTTGGCGTTTAAATCTTGTATTATGACAGCCTGGTCATTAAGTTTCTACAACATAAATGTTAATTTTATGCAACAGTTGTCTGACATACTGTGTGCAGAATATTTCGTAGGATTAGAGCTGCGGCTATTTTTCTTAATGGAAGAATCTTCAGATTGGATGAATTAGAAATTGATTTCTCAATCAAAATGCGTGCTCAGTGGGTTTCGAGCAATTAATAACCGACGGTAAAAAGCCCCAATTAAAGTTTCAGCTCGATACAATTTGGCGACATTGTTGCGGGACCGAGAAAAGTACAAAGTAGAGAAATATATCGCGAGACAAATGTCACTTAGTAAAATTCGGTGTCGTCCAATCTAAAGATCTAAGAAATTCTGGACAGCTCGTCGATGAAAGGGACACTCGACATCGCCACTTTGTCCCGAACAACGTCCATCTCTGCCAATGCACAACTTCGATCTAGGTGTAACTGACTTTCTAGCATTTTCTAGCTTCAGCAGTTGGAAAAAGATAAGACAGTAAGTCGAACCGGGATTAAAGTCAATCTGCATTGGTAGAAAGGGGCGTTTGGAGTCGACCGAGAGGAGACTCGTTCGGAAATCAACGTTCAAGGGACGAGTTGTGTGAGATAAGGGAACAAAAAAATCCGCTCTTATATCCGCGCTAGACGTTCGTCGCTTACTTTCGCAACGACGTTGTACTTTTCGGTCGCGACGCTTTGCGCACTGGCGAGCTTGTTCTGCGCTTTGCCCGCGGCGTTTTCCACGAGGCCCTTCGCGCTCTGAAGCACGCCGCGTCTCCTCATCTGCTGGTTCACCAGCTTCACCAGCTGCCGGTAGTGCTCCATCATTGCGTCCAACGGACAGTGCGACGCAACGTCGAGTAAACTGAACTATATCGCACGACGGAGTTGAAATGACGGGGGACTCGCTCGAGACCCGAGACTCGAATCCCGATCCGCCTGGAATCCAACCTAGCTTAACCTCCAATCCGCGGCCCCGGCAGGACGAGAGGACGCACGTGTGCCGTTCACGTTCAACGGGATAAGCAGTTTAGGCCGCATCCCGATACGCATATTCGCTGCTAACGCTGAAAATTTATAAGGCACGTGACACATGCCGTACGGCAGAGGTTAAGATTTTTCAATACCAACCACACTGGCCCGCGGTATTTTTCTTATGTAATAATTAATTCGCTGCGCGTGTCTACCTAACCAAGCCGCGTTTTCCCGCTCAACGCGACCGAGTATCGAGGAGCGTCGGCTACGAGGATCGCGATCAGATCAATTATCGCACTTGACCACACGATTGACTGTTTAAAATAGTTCAAATTAGCCGGCGCACTTCTCCGAGATCGCCCGCGATCGTTTCGATATCTCGACAATCGCGATATTCGAGATTGCGATTCTCGAGGCGGCGTTCGAGTCGCGGCCAGCAAGAAGTGATCGCGCGCGAAACGCGCTCGTCGTCGCGACGGGGAAGTTTCTCTCTCCTGAAGTCTCGCCTCCGCGCCCCGAATATCGTCGCCCGAAAGTCCCGCGAATCTCGCCGCGCGATGCATCGCCGCGCGGGTCACGGTCGCTTTTCACGCCGGCTTCTCGCGCGATCGAGCGATCCGCCCTCGCCCGCGCGGTGTCGCGGTTTGGTTGGAATCGCCTGCGCACGGCTCCCGGTTTCGTCGCCGCGCCGGCTGGATCGCCGCGACGAAAGCGAAATTGGCGCGAGAGAGATCGTCGCCCCAGGTACGTCAGATTCTTACAATTGCCCACGGGATTGATTCCTGCTCTCTTGCTGGAAAGATATTATTGCGTTCGAGAGAGAGAGAGAGAGAGAGAGAGAGAGAGAGAGAGAGAGGGAGGGACACACGTTGTTTCGG